TCTTTTCAGTCACCTCATATGCATGAGAAAGCTGGACAATGAATAAGGAAGACCAAAGAAGAATTGATGCCTTTGAATTATGGTGTTCCAAAGAATATTAATATACCCTGGACTCCAGAAGAACGAACAAATCTGTCTTGGAAAAAGTACAGCCAGAGTGCTCCTTGGAAGCAAGGATGGTGAGACTTCATCTCACATACTTTGGGCATGTTATCAGGAGGGACCAATCCCTGGAGAAGGACATCATACTTGGTAAGGTAGAGGGTCAGTGAAAAAGAGGAAGACTCTTAATGAGATGGATTGACACAGTGACTACAACAATGGGCTCAAGCACAGCAACAATTGTGAGGATGGCACAGAACCGGGCAGTTTCGTTCCGTTTTACGTGAGGTCAGTGAGTTGAAACCAACTGGAGAGCAACTAACAAGAACAACAGATTGCCATGCCTTTCTTCCAAGGCACTTTTTTGTGGACTGGAACCTCCAGCCTTTCAGTTAGCAGCTGAGCACATTAACCATTTATATCACCCATGGACTCCAAACCTTCCATGTTGCTGTTGTTGTTATTAGGTGGCTTTGAGTCAGCTCTAACTCGCAGAGACCTTATGAACAACAGAACAAAATATCGCCCAGTCCTGTGCCATCCTCACAATTGTGGCTATGACTGAGCCCATTGTTGCTGCCACGTGTCTATATACAGCCCCTCAAATTAGGAGGAGTAGAAGTCATGCTCAGCTTAGCTCACATGAAAGACAGAAACAGATGCGCTGACCTCAGAAGAAAAGGGAAAGAGAGGGAAGGGATGGACAGGAGGAGGGAAGGAAGAGGAAAGAACAAGTTAGAGATTCCTGCTCGAGCCCATACGACCCCGGGTATCTAAATGGCGGAGGGCAGAAGTTCACTAGATTGAGAACCCCAAGGGCTTGAAATGTCTTCTTGGCAAGCCCACACCCACAAATCCCCAAAAAACCTTGTGAGCACCCCTAGGTGCATCCTTCTACTCCTCCTATCAAAGACTCCTCGTCCCACTTTGACGAGGCTGGAGCCATGAGAAGGAGGAGGCGAGAGGAAAGCAATGGTGTTTAAACTGTCTGCCTTCATGTGAAGTACTGGGCTGGCTCCTGTTAATAACTTTCTTCTGTTTCTACCAGACCACACCGTCTTGCTTTGCTTGGTGCCTCCCCAGCCCTCTATGTACAGGTCGCCCCCAAAATATGACAGGGTTCCATTCCAACGACTCCATCGAAAGTCGGTTCTGATGTAGGTCTAATATATCTTTTTTTTTTTTTTTCATTATTATTGCCTTCTATTATCAGCTTCTTTATTTGCTTTTGAACATCTGCGAATGATGACATCAGCAAATTACACTATTACATATTACATATTACTAGTGGTAACAAGTACAAAAAGCAAAAAACAGACAGTTGTCTGGTTCGTGGTAACTTGAATTCGTCGTAAGTCAGGGACTACCTATACCTCACACCCCTGTAGGTTTTTCATATTTACCAGCAGCCCTTTTCTAAGGAGAGAAGGGAGTATGATGGTATACGGAGCTCATGACACCATTTATAACACTGGGTGGTGAAGGAATGAAAGAAAAATGCCCTCAAAATGACAAAACAGAGTTCACACACACGCTCCCTAAACACGATAGTAACGATTACAGTTCACGGAAACCCAGGCACTGTCAGCTTTATGTAAGAGATAACTGTACACCAAATCAGCAGTTTGGAGCTGGGCGGGCAGATCTACGATCGGTGCAAATTCCTCTTCTTGCCCTCCTTATCCGTGTAGAATAATGGTGCCAAGGTATGTCTGGGGGGACAAGGGCGTCCTCAGGGCGTTTTCACTGCATTATCTCGTTTGCTTTAAAGAGTATCCTCTAAGGTAAACGAGGCAGCATTATCCCCCACATGTAGAGATGAAGGACATCAGAAATAACTTGATGTTAAAAAATATATTAGCTGGGGAATCGGGCAAATCTGATTTTGAATTCCTGGTCCATCACAGACAAATCTTTGTGACTTTGAATAGGTTGGGTAAAATATGTAAGCTTCCTCTTCATCTTTTTCGTTTATAAAAACAGGAATAATACCTCCTACTTTGAAAGTGAAGGAGCCCTGGTGGCGCAGTCGTTAAGCGCTTGGCTGCTAACTGAAAGGTCAGCTGTTCAAACCCACCAGCTGCTCCGCAGAAGAAAGATGTAGTCTGCTTCCATGAAAATTATCTGTTGTCATCGAGTTGATTCCTACTCATAGCGACCCTGTAGGATAGAGTAAGACAGCCCATAGGGTTTCCAAGGAGCTGCTGGTGGATTTGAACTGCTGACCTTTTGGTTAGCAGCTGCAGCTCTTAACCACTGCACCACCAGGGCCCCTCCATGAAGATTAGAGCCTTGGAAACCTTGAGGGGGCAGTTCTACTCTGTCCTAAAGGGCTGCTATGAGTCCAATCGACTCAACAGCGAAGGGTTTTTGGACCTTCAAAAGTAATGAAATTTAAGTGAAATATATGTGGAAGAGCTTTTTCATACTAACTTTTCTTCCTGAGACGTAAAAATCCATCTCAAAAAGGAAGTAGGTTGACCAAGGTCCAAAATTCAGAACTTCTACCCAAGTGGTCTTTCCCTCAACCAGCTGACCTTACTCAGATTGACGGTGCTCACATCTGGGCCAATGGCTGCATTTTTCTCTAAATCAGTTGCAATACGAACATCTTTAGATGGTGATTATGAATAAGACACAGTCCCTCAGCTTGGGGGTTCCCACTGTGTGATTAGGGACGCAGACAAGTAAACAAATAACTGCTAATAATTACTGTGGAAGTCCTGTCACAAACAGCTCTCTGACCTTAAATCAGTTGTGGGTCAGCTTGATCGTGGCAGTAAACCCACCTCACCTCTAGCCCCTCGGCTGATCAGGAGTCTGTGAGCTTACCACCCGCTGCTGAGCATCTGCTAACAGTTCTGAGAGAGACTGAAACCTGCTCCCCAGATCCTGGGCTAACCATTGTCTAGCAAAAGAAAAACACAAACTCCCTTGAAAAGCAAAATTTGTCCTAACGCTGATTTCAGAGTAAATTTCCAATATAGATTCTTAAATAAAGAATTATAGGTTAATCTAGTCACATAATTGTAAGTGTTTTCAGCTATGGTTTCTCTGAAGACAGGGGAATGATCTAGAAATAAAGGTCTCTTATATTATCAGCCCATAAAAATCAGAGACATTTCCAAAAGAAGCTAAAATAATTCAATACAAGTCTTAGCTTTTGCTACCTGGCAGAGTAGTTGATTATTTAACAAAGAAATCAGTTTAGCAAGAAATTACAATAACAGCAACAACGAGAGAGAGGGACGAGGGATCCCTGGTGGCAGAATGGTTAAGCACTTGGGTGCTAACTGAAAGGTCAGTGGTTTGAACCCACCAGCTGCTCTGCAGGAGAAAGATGTGGCTTCTGTAAAGATTATAGCCTTGGAAACCCTATGGGACAGTTCTACTCTGTCCTGTAGGGTCTCTAGGAGTTGCAGTCAACGGCAATGGGTATATATATATATAACTTAAGAACTGTGGATGTCAATTTGTTTATCTTAAAATTTCAAAGTAAGATCAAGGTTATTTCTGTTAATAAGAGTCTGTCAACTGGAGTTCTAAGACAGAATGTGCATAATGATGTCATTACTTGTGACTTTTTGCTTTTCAGTCTCCGATTTTTCTTTTTCTATATCCTTTTTTTGAATGGATAGAGAACATAAAGCACTTGCAAAGCAATCTGGCATAGACAAGTTTGGAGGAAAAAAAAACTACAACTGGCCTTTCGTAAGGAATAGCTCAATGGTAAGAGCAGAAGGATAGCAGCCTGCTCGTTACATATATTCGGCATTTCATGGGAATCAGTTAATAAGTTTTTTTCAAAGAAATTGAAGAATATTGGCCAAGCAAAGAGTAAGTTAAGTGGAAGCCAGCTAAGGGAGCTTCTGCTGTATGTCCTGTGTATACTGATAATCCCAAGGCAGCTCTTAAAGAACATCAAGAATGTGCAGTTCACAGTGTTTAAATTGTTTCTATCAATCACCAATGTCTCAGGCAAAGTCAGAGCTGAATTCTGTAATGAATGCTTTAAGCGCGAAGGCACGTTGTCGTGCTCAGTGGAAGAAAGTATCATTTGTCCAAAGATAGGCTGCAAGTTGGCTTTTGGGCAGGACCAAAAAACAAAAAAGCTCTTTGAGTCTGCCCGTGCACTTTGGAAAGTACTAGAATATGGCCTCAGATTTCTGAGTCACAAAATACAGAGGAGATGATTTCTATGTCCCATCTCGTCCTCAAGCAACTCTCTGTGTGATTCCTCTACAATCTAGAATGTCTGCTTCTGAATAGAAAGCTCTTCATTCTCATAAAGGATGGTCCTACCAGGATATGGAGCTCTGGTGGTGCAATGGTTAAGCCCTTGGCTGCTAACCAAAAGGTCGGCGATTCGATTCCACTAGCCACTCCATGGGAGAAAAACATGACAGTCTGCTTCCGTAAGGATTACAGCTTTGGAAACCCTATGGGGCAGTTCCATTCTGTCCTGTAGGGTCACTATAAGTCAGAATCAAGTCGACAGCAATGGGTTACCTGGATACAGCTCAAATTATGTTTAGGTCAAGCACAGTGTGATTCATGTCCAAACTGAAGAAAGTCTCTCTCCATTGTTTATCAGTTGTACGTTAGACGGTACTCAACATTCAGAACGCACTTGCCCTCTGAAAGGTTTATGCAATCCAGCATTGGAATTGAAATCTTCAGCATACGTATGCAGTTGAATCTATTTATCTTCATGTGACCTCTATGGGGAAACTTCACTTTGAACACTGGGTTTGGGATCTGCTCCGACCTTTCCTATAATTACTGTTTTGGGTCTGTAGCTTGCGTAATTCATATTCTTCTTTTATAAAAAAAAATGTACGTATATATACGTGAATAATGTAACTAATGCTTTTCATGCATCTCTTTCGCTTCTGCAGGAGGGATTTTTGAAACTGTGGAAAATGAACCTGTTAATGTTGAAGAATTAGCTTTCAAGTTTGCAGTCACCAACATTAACAGAAACCGAACCCTGATGCCTAACACCACGTTAACCTATGACATCCAGAGAATTAACCTTTTTGATAGTTTTGAAGCGTCACGGAGAGGTAACTATTTTTACACTTTTAAAGGCTTCTTTGTGTGATGCGTCTACTCTACATGTCAGCTTTACGCTACGTGCCCTTTTTCAGCGTGGACATCTATGTGCGAATAGGTTGCAGGAAATCTCTGTCTTCAGTGTCACTGACCAGGGCAATGTGAACCAACCTAATGGATGTTGCCTAGCACTGTTTTCCGGGCCTTTCTGATTAGCTTACCCTTCAGTGCCCCCCACTCTATGATTAACTGGTTCGGCTGTGAATGGAAAATGTCAAGCTTGATCTGTTTTTCCTTCCTGAAGCCGAGATACCACCATGAATTTGTACAGTGCCGTCAAATAAAACTTTGTGGAAGGTCATACCCACCCAGCCTGTGGAAATACCCATGACACACACAACTCAAGAGTTTAACTAACATCTTCTCAATTTTTATTTTTTAAATTCCTTTCCTCAAGATCAGAGAATATGAAGATTAAGCTTGTGAGACCAATCTCTACATTTGTTTTTCCCTAAAAAGTCATCTAATTTCTATATAGGCCGCCAGACTTCTCTCATGGGAAGACTCATTTGGAATCGTAGGGCTCACGTAGACGTCCCCTAGACACTTCTCGACTGACTCTTGGAAGCACGGTCACATTCGATGTAGTTGAAGCTTGGCTGCTAACAAGGGCTCCGTCGAGTCTCCAGATGTAGGTGTTCATGTGGAAACAAAGCCTGCTTGTCACCCCAGAATAAGAGGGCTCTTTACCTCAAAGAGGAATAACTCGCTCATTAAAAATCGCCATTGAGTGGCTTATCATGGAAGCCATGTTCATGCTAATTTCCAAGTAACTAAATACTGGTTGTTTCCATACAGAATTAGCCTAGTTATACTGTAGGATGTGTTCAGCCAATACATCCTTATGCAAGAATCCTAGTGTTCTTCCCAAACAAATGTGAAACTCTTTTTCCTAGGTGCACAGATGGAAAGAAAGTAAATAGGATGATTTTTTTTTTTTCCCTATCTATGGCATGAACTTAGTATAAGAATATTTTCTTGTTTAAGATGGATGGAGTTGGAGATACTATGTAGGTCAGAGTTGTCTATGAATGAATAAGAAAGTTTATGTAGAGTTTACAAGGCATCTTCACATACATTACCTCTGTGGATTAGATCTTGCTCACTCTCTTTTTCTCTCTCTCTCTCTCACACACACACAATGTTGGGCAAATACCTTAGAAAACCAATCACATTTAGCAGTGATACATCAACCCACATAAAATTTGAAAGCTTTCTTGTGATCTGAAATATTTGCCATACTTATAAATTAAACCCCAAAAGCTTCTTAAAACTGGTAATTTGCTGGCAAACAGAATTCAAAGGGATTGATTTCCTGTCAAGTAATATTAGCTAGCATCCCAAAGCTAAATCTTAGCAGGAATCTCAATCCACCGCTCATGCAAGATAAAACAGCACTTCACATACTCTCGTGCTCTCGTTTGTTTCTTGCCAACCAATGAAAACACATCCAGAAAATGAACTTCTGAGGAAAAATGACAATTTACCCTTAGGTACTTCATGTAGTAAATTATACATTGCTATATCTCCTGTGGTCATTCAGCACTGAATTAGGAAGCATTCCTTGTAAATGGCTGTCAACATTTGCTGTCCCATAGATATGTAGACTATGGATATCAAAAAATTCTTTGTTAATTATTCTCTCTAGATCAAGTCAGGTAATTTTTACAAAGCCATATAGTTTTTCTACTTACTTTTTTGTATAGAATGACATTATCATAAAAAACTAACACAATTTTGTTGATAAATTTAGCTATTATTTAATTCTGATATTCAATTATTATCCCTCAGCAGATCCAAATTTCTTTAAGATAGTATTAAGATATAAACTTGAAAATACGCTTAAACTTATATTTAATGCCTGCCAGCCCAAGATGTGTAGGTATTATGGTACATGATTGAGAGGAGAAACTGTCCCAGCCTTTCCGGAAAGGAATTGGACAGCATGTGTCTAGAAACTTAAATATCAACACCCTTGAATTATAGCTGGTAATTCAAATCCTGAGGATCTGCTGTAAGAAAGTAATCTAAGACTCGGAGAAAAATATACAACTGAACATGTTAATAATACTATCATACTATTATTTATAATAGCCAAACATTAGGAGTAACTTAAATGCCCAATATCATAGGAATGGTTAAATAAATCATGATATATCCGTGTAATGGACTATTCTATAGACACTAAAAATATATTTCTGAAGAATTTGTAATGACTTAGGAAAAAGGGTATATTATCATGTTAAATAAAGAAAGCAATTTATCAAATTAGATCTATATATTAATTCCATTTTTTTTTTTATAAATTGAAACATCTAACTATCAATAGGTATTATCTTAAGATGATGGAATTACCAGACCTTTTTTTTTCTCTTTCTCATATTTTTAGCTATGCTAAATTCCCTCAATGAGTATGTATACTCTTATAAGGAGAAAATGCATACTATAAATGTTAGAAATTAATTTTTAAATAATATCAGCTTAGTTTTGTAAGGCTAAATGTTGGCTGATACTGAGGTAGAGACACCCCTGCCATTGAGCGGAAGTTCCTGGGCTCTGGGGTTCCCGGGCTCTGGGGTTCCCGGGCTCTGGGGTTCCCGGGCTCTGGGGTTCCCGGTCTCTGGGGTTCCTGGGCTCTGGGGTTCCTGGGCTCTGGGGTTCCCGGGCTCTGGTTGATATATGCCACTGCCCAGTGATCATGATTCATTCCAGGGTCTGTGAAACGAGTGGGTTGGACCCAATGTCTTCTAAGAGCCCTTTTAAGCAATGCTATTCCATCATTCTGTGATTGATTGGGCACCAGTACCACTTACGAACATTCATTGGCAGTATTTCAATAACCTGGCGCTCCTTTTTGAATTATGGGAAGACAGGAGCTAAATCACTTTGCAATCATCCAGAAGGTCTTTCTCCTGAATTCTTCAACCACATTAATACCTTCATTGCCACCCTGCCATATGACAGAACTTAATTCATATAACGTTCATTTGGCAAATGGCTTGTGGAGTACCTCTGAATGTTCTCAGGTATGACCACACTAAGCAAGGAACTTAGATTCCATCTGATTACAAGTAATGGAGTGAGACCAACCCAAAAAAAACCAAACCACCGGATCGATTCCGACTCATAGTGATGCTATAGACCAGTGACTCCTTTTTATTTGCAGGGAGTTGGCCCTGTGATGTATTGCTAATCAGTTCTGCATTTACAACTACCAGTAGCTTAATATCTCAGGAATCTTGGAAACTGGACCAAGTATATTTCCTCAAAGTACAATGGGGAGTAGCAGGGAAGTTTTCAACAGTGACTGAAAAGAGGAATTGTGAAAAGGAAAAATGAAATTCACAAAACTCTCTCTTTCTCCTCCCTCTTCCCTTCCCTCCCTCTCCATCCCTTCCTTGTCCCCGGACATCAGCGTGTGACCAGCTGGCCCTTGGTGTGGCTGCCCTGTTTGGTCCTTCCCATAGTTCCTCCGTCAGTGCTGTGCAATCTATCTGCAATGCTCTGGAAGTTCCACACATACAGACCCGCTGGAAGCACCCCGCGGTGGACAATAAGGACTTGTTTTACATCAACCTCTATCCCGACTATGCAGCTATCAGCAGGGCTGTTCTGGACCTCGTCCTCTATTACAACTGGAAAACGGTGACCGTGGTGTACGAAGACAGCACAGGTATGGGACTCCCGCAGTGCGAGACTTCACCTGACCAAGTCTGGTTTGAAGAAAGGGAACCTAAGTGTTCCCTAGGCATTAAAATCACCAGCTGTTGTTCTTGAAAAAATGTTCTCTTCTATGAAGCAGATTGAGTTTCCTAAAGTAATTTCGGAATGCCATGTGTAACCAATTCATAGTTCTTACGGTTAGTTGATCCTTTCTAATGATCTTTTCATCATCAAACTTAGGGAGTTTTTTATATAAATATCACTTTATTGATATATGTCGCAATCCAACCGGAATATTAAGGATGTCATTTCATTCATCCAACTCTGTTAAGACTGTGGCCACAATTCTATTCCTTACATAATGCAGAGAAAGTCTGAAGACTACCATGGAGTACAAGTCCAACTTCATTAGTAGCTATGTAAGCCATTTCCATTGCCATTAAGTCCATTCCGACTCATAGCAACCCGACAGGACAGAGTAGAACGGCCCCATAGGGTTTCCAAGGAGCGGCTGGTGGATTCGAACTGCCGCCTTCTTTGGTCAGCAGCCAGGCTCTTAACCACTGCACCATCAGGGATCCAGTAGCTATGTAAAGGTCTACAAAAGTTTCTAAAGTAGATTAACAAAGAGGAAGTCAGTTGGAGGTTCTGTTTCATGGAAAAGGGACTACAAGCTCTGGTGATCAGCCCTTAATAAAGTGTGCATCATTGCAGCTGCTTGTTTTAGGATGAAGGACGGAAGTATGCTGCTCAGTGTCTTGTTCTCAGTAGGCACTTTCTCTGACTTCTCTAACTCGCTGATCCTCCTCCTTTAAAATTTCTTTTCCTAGGACCTCCTTTTGGCCTTCTGCTTATATTTTAAGACTGCTCAGAGTTCAGGCCCTCTTGTCTTCAGTTTAAAGTCTACCAATCGGTCTCTGTTGTCCATATGACAAAATCCAAACACAAAAAAAACTAAACCCAGTTGCCATTGAGTCCATTCGGACTGATAGTGGCCCCATGTGTGTGTCAGAAGAGAACTGTGTTCCACGCAGTTTTCAATGGCTGATCTTTCAGAAGCACATTGCCAGGCCTTTTTGCTGAGGTGCCTCTGGGTGAACTCAAATTGCCAACCTTCAGTTTAGCAGCCAAGTGCTTAACCCTTTGTCCACCCAGGAACTCCTAACCAAATACCTACTCTTCTCATCAAAGCCCGTCACCATCTAGCTGTAAACTGCCTTTTCATCTTTATTCACCCAGACTGTAGCCCCTGTACGTTCCCTACTCCCTCCCAACAGCTGGGATGAAGAACTCACTGCCTGACATATATAGTGTTTAGTAAGTCCCGGCTGAAGGAATAATACTATTGACCTTCTGAGTATTTTTTTTTTTTTTTCAAGGATGAAAGTTAGTTTCTTTCTTTGAGCTATTAAAAAAAAAAGTTACCATGGCATTAAGTCTGACTCATGGCAACCCTATGTGTATCAGGGTGCTCTATAGAGTTTTCAATGGCTGATTTTTCAGAAGCAGATTGCCAGGCGTTCCTTCAGAGGCACCTCTGGGTGAACTTCAATTTCCAGCCTTCCAGTTAGCAGCTGAGCTTGTTAACATTTTGCATCACCCAGGGACTCCCTTCGATCTATACATTTGGTAATAAGACTGATAAAATGTTCAGTGAAAATTAATACTTTCACACTTTTTAATGTGATTTCCATTTTCACCAAGCCTTTCACCAAGCCCTAGCTCTTGCTATCCCCCAGGGAATGAGAGTAGTGTCTTCCATTTGGCACTGAACTCTGATTCCATTTTATACTGTCAGATACAGTGACTGCTATGGCTGGAAATATGCATGTATGCCTTTTCTTATACCTCAGAAAGAAGTGAAGGTAGATGATTGGACAAATAATTCATAAATATTATATTCAAAATAGTCATCAGGAAGAATAATCCACAGGCAGTCATATTTTTAGAGATTCATCCACTTACTGTGAAGGAAGAAAACGTATTATCAAATGAACCCCGACAAGCTTATTCAAAGAAACTTGAGATGGAATATTATGTTTTAAGCATAAGCATGGTTAGATGTTCCATGTTGCCTGTCTTTGTTAAATAAAGAATTCCCTGGGCTGATAAAATCATGGTATTTCTCGGTCTGTGGTGGTCCCTGCAGCAAAATCTTCTCTCATCATTTCTCTCAAGGCTAGCAAAGCAAGACTATCCAAAAGAAAAACAAATCAGTGAATGATGTTCAGACTCCATTGAATTAAAGAAAGATTTAATTTAAGAAAGAGATTGGCTAAAGGTGTGGCATAATTGTTGTAGATTTCAAATTGCGTTTAGACAAAATATAATCTGGGAAAGGATGTCACAAAAGATGGCGCCCTAACCACCCTTCTGATGTCAGCTGAGGCACCGTAAGTAATGACCATTTTGTACAACAGAAAAATGAAACTATCGTTTCTATCATCTTTTACGAAAAACCAGAATGTTCCTTTTCATCCCTGTGAAATTCACCTGAGCACAGTTGGTCAATAAATACTTACTTACCGAAATTGCAAACCCAAAATGATTTTAGATGTTGCCCATTAGAGATCATTCATGTTAAAATGATTTTGCCCACAAAGACATTAAAAATGTAAATGAGTAATCAATTGAGCCATGAAATTGGAACCCAGAGAGTAAACAGGTCAACTGAGATCAATAAAAGTAGATATCTTGTGACTGAGAACATGTTCAATACTGCTTTACTCAGGGTTCTTGGTCAGTGATTTCAAGCCATGAAAAGGAGAAAACTCACTAAACCTGCAGGAAAAGAAAGGACTTAGGTATACTCGGCACCCGCCCCCACCCCAGTTAAGTACCCATTAAAGGGCACTTCATTGGGATTTGTTTAGGAGTTGGGTAAATAGCCTGAAGCCAGCACAGATGTTGTGGGACCAAATGGCCCATTACTCCCATTGAAGTCAATGAGAGCAGCGTGCAAGTCTCTAAGGACAAAATTCAATTCACTGACTCCTAGCAGGCAGAATTTTGTCGTCTAGAAGTTAAAATGTAGAAAGATTCTAGAGAACTCTTTAAGAGTGGAGATGTTTTGTCTGGCCTCAGCTCTCCATCTCCTGGGTGTCCTTGCCATCAGTTTTACTTTTCTCTGATTCTGTCATTCGGAGGGGACCCCAGGCAACTCGAAATTGCTGTCTGTTGGTCATCCACTGTGCTTCATTAAGCCCCTGATGGAAGCCTGACTTCCATCCTTCACAGGCATCAAAAAAAAGCTGAGAAGCTGAGCGCCAAATGCAGTGTGGAATACAGTCAGCACTTTCTGCTTTCTCAAGGCCAATGGCGGCGAAATGTAGCCACAGCCACTTCCGTAGAACAGGGCTCAGCACACTTTTTTCTGTGAAGTGTTGGAGAGTAAATAGTTCAGACTTCGCAGGCCATATGGTCTGTCACAACTACTCAACTCTGCCATGGTGGTGGGGAAGCAGCTAGAGACAATATGTAAATGAAGGGGTGTGGTGTGCTTAAAAGTTTCATTTTTCTAGAATTATAAAAAGAAACATTAGAAAATGTTCAAATGAAGAAAAGTGGAAGAACATAAAAACATCTAAGAAAACAAACACATGTACAATTTTGGTATATATTCTTCTAGACTTTGCATAGATTATTGATTGATTGATAGATACATACATATGTGGATAGAAGGGGGATGGATGGGCAGGTAGATAAATACATAGATGATAGATGAATAGGTAGATATAGATAATAGATGATAGATAATAAACAAATAGATGATGGATGGATGAATAGACAGATGATGATGGATGGATGCATGGATGGATGCATGGATGCATGGATGGATGCATGGATGCATGGATGGGCGGATGGACAGACAGATAGATAGATGGATAGATAGATATGTATTCCCTTGTTTTATAAACACTTACAGCCAGGCATTGTTCTAAGCACTGGGGATATACCACAGACAAAAATCTCTCTGACCTCATGAAGCCCACAATCTACTTAGCTAATGAACAAAACAGATAAGTAAATATTTGGTATGTTATATGGCAGTAAATTTTATGAAGACAAATAAAGCAGCAAAGCGCATTTGAGAGGCTGAGGCCGGTGACAGGATCTGCAATTCTAAATAAGGAGAGCCAGGAAGACCTCCCTGGAAAATAACATTTGAGTAACAACTGAAAGAGGATAAAGAGCAAACCATGTGGGAGAGCATTTCAGATTTCAGGCAGCGGGAACGGCAAAGGCCCTGAGCAGAAACATCCCTCCGCTGGTAGCACTGTGCCTGAACACCACCATCAAAAGTCTTCTGTATGTTGAAGGATTTGCATATGCAAATACCTGAACAAAGAGCAGTATCGTGAATCATTATTATAGGCCTCCTTAAGCTATATATTTAGGCGAAATCTGTGTAAGCAAAAGAAGGGAGAAGGTGTTTCAAAGAGATATTTTTCCTGTTCAACAACTCACCTTATGGATAGATCTGCCTCCCCAAATACAGAACTACCCCAATACTTACTTAAGTATAGGTAATACGGTCATTGTGAAGGTTCACATGCAAAATATATGAATAAGGTTGAAAGAATTAAAATATTTAGACTGCAAAGAAAAAAAAATTAAAGACTTAGGAGGCCAGTGGCTACCGTGTCAACAAATATCTGAAGAGCCGTTGAGTGGAAGAAGGCTTGGCCAAACCGTCTGGGCTTTCACAGTGGGTGCAGGGTTAGAGGAGCAGCTTTGGCATAAGTAAAAGGAAGAACTTCTAACCCCTAGAGCTCTCTGGGGATGGAATGCATTTCATCCCAAAGGACCGGGCTCGTCAACCCCGGAAGAGTTCAAACCCAAGTTGTGGGACCCTTTGTCACAGATGGAATGACAAGGATTCCTACCATACCTGAGAGTTGCCCTCTATGATACTAAATTCATTTACAACTCAGAATAGGTTGTTTTCTGAGAGTTGCCCTCTATGATACTAAATTCATTTACAACTCAGAATAGGTTGTTTTTCTAAGA